GTAGCAATAATAATATAACAGCCCAAATAACAATTTGTATTTATCTCTTTTTTATTTTTTGATAATTTATGTAAATCTATATTTTGATTTTTTTAAAACACAAGAAAAAATGATAAATGGTTTTTCTTAGTCCTNTTTTATTTTGTAACTATATTTTTAATTTTATCATGCATATTCAAATAATATTTTTTCAACACAAGACCTATTTAATAGATTTTTTTTTTTGATGATATGTTGTTTGGTTGGTTACCAAAGAATAAAATATTGCAGTGATTTGTCTTTAATATAAAGAGCCGCAATTTTATTGCAATAGTTATCATAAAATAATTTTTAAAATTGATATTACTTTATTTATATAAAAACTCATGCTATTAACCGAATTGCACGATTTACAACAAGTAGGTATAATTTAATTTTTATTTTTTATAAATATTAATTAATTTTTACTATTTTTCCTTTAATAGCAAGTCAACCTATTTAATTACAAAGTCAAAGTTACTATTGTAGATTATTTCATCAACCTCTTTCAATATACTAGTACAGTACCCATGCGATGCACGTGAACATTTATTACCTATTGCTTTTTAAAAGGTATTTTGTATTTAAATTGTCTCATGTTATTTAAAATATAATGAAAATGAAATTTGTATATTATTGAATACTTCCTTAAGTACAACATTCTTGGTTTGATTTTTTGGCACGTAAAGTACTACATGGGTGTCCGAATTTTATCCAAAATTGCGTATTGTTAGTTATTAGTTAATAGATTATTAAAAAAAATTAAGGGATCTTATTTATTAAATAAAATTCGTGTATAAAAATAGTAGATATTTTTAGAGATTTTCATGCCATTTTATATTATTTTTTGAAATCTAATTCAAAATTTTGATTAAGAAAAATTAAAAAGAATTATTAGTTTCTTCTAAAAATGAAACCGAACTTTTCTACCAATACATTGATTTTTTTACCAAATAAATTAATTTGAATATTTGGTTAAAACAAAGTGAAAAGTATCATCATTTTTCCTAAAAATTCAACCAAGTTTTCCTAACATTGCACCGGTTTTTTTACCAAAAAAAATGAATTGAAATTCATTCTAATAAAATATTAGAATATTTTATTAAGATTTATGCAATTGTTTGTTTCCTAAAAGAATTAACATGAACTTAACAAAAAATTGATATGAGCTTACCAAAGTCTTGGTAAAACATAGTTAAGAGAAAACATAAGCATTCAAAAAAATTGGTGCATTCAAATTTTGAAAAGTTGCACACGATTTTTTCTTGTAAATGTTGCACAGGATCTTAATATTGATTTGATTTTTTTTTTTCTAAATAATAGGATAAGGTTTGACTTTAAATATCAAAGATGAAATTATTTTGTTACCAAAAAACATGTAAATGTATATTCCATCCAAATTTTAATTTTGTTTTAAAATAAAAATTGCACGTGGGTTTATCCACATGTTTTTTGAAATAAAAAATTATTCAAAAATATTGGAAGAATTTTTAAGAATTATACAACTATTTATTTCCTAAATTTGTATCCAATTTGCACTGTTTTTGAATTAATTTGTATTTGGATTTGTTTTCATAGATAATTGACACATTTTTTATATTAGTATCTCCAAATTTGTTACTAGAAAAAATAAGATTCGTATTTTGGTAAAAAAAAATAAAAAAATAATACGAAAACAATGAGATTCAGATTTTGGCATAAGATCGTCCAAATTTGTTACAAAAATAAAAAAAATAAAAAAAATAGAATTCAGATTTTGTTACTAACGATTCACATGTGTTTTTTTTTAAAAAAAATTCACTTATAGTAAGTCAAACCATCTATTTTTTAGTCAAACTTACTATAAAGATATTTTTCAACAACCGTTTTACATAGATACAGATTAGTTAAAAATCACGTTTTGCGTAAAAAAAAATCAAGGGATATGGTTTATTAAACAAAAATCTAGTTAAAAGAAGTGTAAATGAATTTGAATCGGTTTTTTTCCTAAATTATTGCAACCAAATTTGTTAAAAAATATCTTGAAAATTATTAATCACATGGTTTTTTACTAAATAAATGCAACCGATTTTGTTTTAAAATATCTTGAAAGTTATTAATCACATGGGTTTTCCTAAGTAAAATTTATTTAGTAGAATCCTCTTTTTAAACATTTTTTAACTAATTTTAAAAAAACATTTTTAAAAATAAATTGATCTCTAAAAAATTAAATCAAATGTCTCAAATGAGGTTTCCAATAATTTTAAAATTATATCATACTTAATCACAAGATTTGTTTAAAGTGATAAACATAATTGAAGGAGATAAACATAATCAGTTTACCATATTGTTTTGATAAGGTTTGTTTAAAGAGATAATCATAATTGAAATAGATAAATTTAATTTATTTACTACCAAACATGTTTATGTGACTTACACGATTTTATTCATGGAATTGATACTAATGGAGAGAGATAAGTTTTTTTTTCTTTATTTTGTTAGTTATGAACCAATTTTTAGGTTATATAATTGATTTGAATTTAATAAACCAAAATATATGTAAACTTCGTTAAGAAATAGAAAAAAAATCCACAATTTTATGAAAACTGCATATTTTGCTCACAAAATCCGAAAATGATTGAATTTGAGCATTTTAAAAATTTGTTAACAAAAATACTTTTGTTTCTAAATGTTGTGGATTTGAAATTACAACATATCATGATAATAAGATTTATTTATTACAATTACAAGATTTGAATTGAACTTGCCAATTTTTTTTTTTTCAAAATTTTGATTAAAAAAAAAACATAAAAATCCACAAAAATTCGGTGCATTCAAAATTTAAAAAGTTGCACATGGGTTTTCCTTATAAAAGTTGTACACATTTTTAAATTGATTTATATTTGTTTTCCTAAATAATTGGATAAGATTTGACATTAAATATTAAACATCAAATTCGAAACTGATTTTGTTACCAAAAAATGTGGATAAGGAACCGATTTTAGTTGGATATTGATGGTATATTAAATTCAAATCTCAATTGTTTCAAAATAAAAGATATACATGTTTTTTCAAAAAATTCTTAAAATAATAAGTCAACCAATTTATTATTCTAGTCAAAGTTACTAAAATGTATTTTTCCAACAACCTTTTTATATTAGTATAAATACAGAATATAGATTTGAGAAATTTCAATTTGCACAATTAACGCTTCCAGCGTATTATTCCATCATAATATAATTTGGTATAATTGTCCACCATCAACATCATTGAGTTTTCCCCCCCTTAAATCCCAGAAAAAACACAAGAGAGAAGAACCACACAGGTGGTCTCAAATACAACCGGGAAAACAAAACCTGAAAAACTAGACCAAAGGCGAGCACAAACGTTCGACACCTTCAAAATCACTGAGATTATGAATTTCATATTTTCAATGTGATATATTTATATATATATATATATATATATATATATATATATATATATATATATATATATATATATATATATATATATATATATATATATATATATATATATATATATATATATATATATATATATATATATATATATATATATATATATATATATATATATATATATATATATATATATATATATATATATATATATATATATATATATATATATATATATATATATATATATATATATATATATATATATATATATATATATATATATATATATATATATATATATATATATATATATATATATATATATATATATATATATATATATATATATATATATATATATATATATATATATATATATATATATATATATATATATATATATATATATATATATATATATATATATATATATATATATATATATATATATATATATATATATATATATATATATCATATATGAATTTCAATTATTGACAACACCAATTGATAATTGCACACCGCATGGCGATTTTACATTTACCTATAAATATGCACTGTTCTAAATATCGGCCTAGGCGGCGCCTAGGCGCTAGGTTGTGCCCGGGCGCCTCCAATTTGCACAAATCGGCAAAAAAAATCGGCCAGGCGGCGCCTAGTCGGGCCTAGGCGCTCCTAGGCAGGCTTGGCGGGCTCGGCGTTCAGGCGGTTAGGCGGCGTCTAGGCGGGCATAGGCGGCCCTAGGTGCTCCTAGGAGGGCTCGGCGACAATTTTTTAATTTTTTTTTTATTTTTTATATTTTTTTAAATACTAATTACATTATTTTATTTTCATGTTTTCTTTAATATATATTAATATTATTATTTAGACTTTTGGTGTCTGAATTTATTTTAAGTTAAGATAGATTTATTTTGTAGTTAGTTAAAATAAATAAAAAATAAGGTATTTAATATTGATTTCTAGGCCCCGACTAGGCCCCGCCTAGGCGCTCTAGGCGCTGGTCGAGCATCTAGCGACTTTTAGAACACTGTAAATATGTTTCCGTCAATGTTTTAAATACCGTACCGGTGACCATACCGGTCTAGTCACCGGTACGCGGTATTACCGGTAGGACCGATAATATCGGTGATATTACCGGACGAACAAATACAATGATATATATATTTATATATAAAAATGTATAATACTAAATGCAAAAAAGTACAAAAATAAATGACCATAATCATTAATTTTAACTCACTAATGAGATAAAAATAAAACATTCTAACTACCAATTTAAATTTTATGTTTTTAAATTAATAATTTTTTTTTTTATGACCGATATTTTGGACCGATTTTTTCCAGTATTTACGGTATAACCATGGTACAAACCGATATAACCGCAAATCCGGTATTCTGTGTGCAATTGTATCGTACCAATGGCCGGTATCCAATATTGCCGGTATTACCGGCCGGTACGGTACAGTTTTTAAAACAGTGGTTTCCGTTGCAAGCCTCAATCTATAGCATTTTGCACTTCATGCTATTTTGAGTTTGCCACATGCAACATTTGTTGGCAGAGTGAAAGCATACCATCCAAGACGAAGAGCGAGTGTGTCGTGTTATCTGTGTAACGAAACTAAGCGCCAAAATGCAAGTACAGTAGTTTAGAAACAATTTGGAATCGGCAGACAAAGTTTCCAGATAGATGACACTCACAACCAATGATAACAGAAATTCACTCTCAAATTGGAACTACATACACACCATATAGATCAAGGCAAATTGCTCCAACTTCTAACCCAATCTGTTATCCTAGAAACATTCTTATCTATATCATCAATGCAATCACTTCTTAACGCCTGCACAATATCTTCGGGATAACTCTCTTTTGCCTCCTCAAATAATACCTGAAAGATCTCGCACTCAATGTTGTTGGAGAGCTTTTTTCCAGTATAACCCCTAGACTCACCAAACAGAAACAAAATAACCTATAAGATTTTCTAATAATAAGCAGCAGGGAAAATCAAGTTAAATAACAAGAAACCAAATTCACCTCTTGTTCAGCCGATCGTACAACACAGAATTCTCAGATTGAAGCACCACAACAAGATCAAACCAACGTTCGGGAAAGAAGTCACAGCCATGGTGGTCCACAATATTCCCACCTTCTTCCATTAAATCTTCAAGCTCATCACATACCTGTCACAAATAGACACACTTGGATAATGGATATAAAACTAAGTTTAAGATCTGTTAAATGACTAAAGCAAAAGCAGACATGAAACAAAAAAGAAAAAGATGAAGAAACCAAAATAAAAGTTAAACATGACCCAGGTCATTTAACAGCAACTGTAGTTGTCAGAAATTATTTTTGTTGCAAACTTTTGCTCACATTTAAAAAAGAGTTGACAATGCTACTTGAATTAATTCACAGATAAGAATTGAATATGTTGCTTGAAGTAATAGCACAATTCACAAATTCACAACAACATCAAAGTCTTTAGGCCATCTCCAGCCCTTATCTCTACTCTAGCGCGGACTTTACTCTACTCTAGAGTGGAACATTTGTCTCCAACCCTTATCTCTACATTTTACTTTACATCAAATATATTATTTTTTCATTCATTTTTATTTCAAATAATTGGTATATATGTGTATATTTAATCTTATATAAATATCTATTACCTAAATAATAAAAATTATTTTATTTATTTTTATTTCAAGTGAATTGGTATATATATATATTTGATTTTATAAAAAAATATTTATTACCCAAATGATAAAAATATATTTTATTTATTTTTATTTTAAAAAAATTGGTATATATATGAATATTTAATCTTATATAAATGTTTAATAAAATCTAGTTGTTTTATTATGTTAATTTTTTATTCATATGGTACAATTTTAATATTAAAAAATTACAAAATAAAATTATAATACATCAATAAATAAAAAACACAAAGTTATTTAACATAAAAAATACATTTCCTACTACACATATACCCAAATTTATCAATAATATTATATTAAAAGGCATAAACATAACAAAAAAAAAAGAAAAAATTTGTAGCAAAGCTACGCCAGATGTGGCGCAGCACTATTCACAGAGGCAGAGTAGCGCAGGAATCTGGTGCTGCGTTGGAGTACAATTTCTAGCGATAAACGCTACGCTACTCCAACGCAGCATTGGAGAGGCTCTATTGCACTGTGTTGGATTGGATATACAGAAGCTATTTTTCCTTTTCAAATGTCATATTTTCTTTTAATTCTAAACTAGTACAACACCCATGTATTACATGGGTGGCGACGGTACCTCGTTCATGGACGGATTCATAAAAGTGGGATGGGTATCCGGACAAGTCAAATCCAAGACCATCCCGGCCGGCGCCCACCCTTACCATAAATAATCAACATATTATAGATAATCCGAACCTAAATATATTTGGATTATATTTGGATTAGAAGTAAACTAAATCTACCCAAGCCTAATAACGAAGCATGTATTTTTGCCACATAGGATCCCGAAGCATGCGAACCTGCCACATAGGCTCAGCACGTTCTCAATTAATATATAGGGAGGGATATAACATGAAATGTCAAAATAATCATTATCCAATTTGATCCAAATAAGATGCCTGGACAAATACTTTTGAATGGTGACAGATGAGAGTCTTTTCACAAGTTACAGGAATGGTGGATCACATTTCAACAAACCCCTGTCAAATTTAGCTTAAGAACGCATAATTATCAGCTCCTATTAGCTTAATTGACCACGACCTAATCTTACAAATGAAAAACGAAGCCACTAATCCTAAAATTTACTATGGTTTATATAAAATCTTTTCAACCTGAAAATGTCACGAATTGAACAGCCGTTGGCTAAAATCGAACAATTTGCTCCGAAAGATATACCAAGCAGTCACACAGGCTCATAGAAGTAAGCAACTTACGAGGTCCTCGTTGATGATGTAACTTTCGAACTCCTCGTCCCATCCATCGTGGAGATTCTTCTCTTTCACCAAATCACCGACGTTGATATGCCGGAGATTGGCCGCCTCCGCCAGAGCCGAGGACATCGTCGTTTTACCAGTACCAGGCGTTCCCGTTATAAGGATGTTGGGCTTCTCCCTCTTCTTCCTTCCGCCGTCATTCTTCGCCATTTTCGCGCTCCGCAGCTGTTCTTCCCTCTGTTTGTGCTGCCGACTGAAAAAATTGAATATGCTAATTCCCCAGCAGATGCAGAGTGGGTACCTAGGGTTTGCGATACGGTTTTTCGTCTTTCAACTGTTAGCGTTTTTCAGGTGGGCATACTAGTCTAGCGACTACGGAACAAATCTTTATCTTTCAATCTTTTTTTCTTTATTTTTTTTTTTATTTTCACGTACGCATAAATATTATATAAATAATTAAAAAATTAGTATAAGATTTCGATAAACATCCTTCAAGGTATCCACAACTCTAATACACAAATACCATTCATTCAATAAAAAAGTAATATTCTTTCTTATTCACATCATCTTCACATTATCTTTCCACTAAATCTCTCTCCATTTAAACACACACTCACATTTCTATTCATTCCTTTAAATACATACTAATGTGTAGCCCGTGGGATGCACGGAAAATAATATTAAATAATATTATAAATAAGACTCGAGTTTGAGTCACTCAATGCAGGAAGTGAGAATTAAAGATGTGGAGTCAAATTAAAGTGGAGTATAAATAAAATTAAGTAATAATTATAAATTAAAGATGTGGAGTCAAACAATGTAAAATAATCTTGTATAAGAGCATATAAAATTATATGTTTAAAATATTAAAAACACCTAAATTATTATATTAATATATGTAAAAGTATCCAAAATTTTCTATATCATTTTCACCTACAACTTTTCTAAACTATTTTGGAAAGAAAACATATTTAAAAACATTTAAATTAACATCAGTATAAAAGATCTAAACTATTTTGTAAAGAAAACTCGTATAAAAATAATTAAATTTAACTTCTATTATGTATATGTGTATATGTATATATATACAGATCGAAAATGTAAAAAAAAAAAAATTATCTAACAATTTGTTTAAAGTATCTAAAATATTATAGGACATTATCCCACGCTAAAGCTTTTATTGAGGATTTAGATGATAGGATTTATGACCTTACTTCGACATAAAATATCTATCTATCTACAAATTTAAAAATAATCAACCAAATTTTTTAATATCAAGTATGGAACAGAATTAAAAATTTGGGAGTTTTAAGTATAAGACATTTGAATTTTATGAATTGTATATTGTATGCAATCAATTCGAATTTTAATTGAAGGCTTGAAAAAAAAAATATTTAAAATCGGGATAATCCCAAAATTTTAGGATGCAATGTTGATTGATTATGTTTTATGGAATAAAGAGCTGTCTATCTAATTTGTATGGATACAATTTAGTTCTACGCAATCACTCTAAGATTTAGTATTTTAAAAAATAATAGAATCATTTAAAATTACAATAGAACACAACAGTATGATTATAAAATATCTTTTAACAAATAAATCAGATTCACTTTAAGATTTAGTATTTTATAAAAAACATAAAATCATTAATTTAGGCAATTAAACCATTGTAAATTTAAAGATAAAGACAAAAATATTTCGATTCTATGATTTAAACAAAGAGAATGAAAATTTTCAACAATTCATAATAAATGTTTCGTATGCAATTATTTGTTAAAACTTTAATTTTTAGTAACAAATGAAAGTTGCAAATCAATACAATTATATTAGTCATTTTTTTATTTTTAATTTAATGAGCCAAAATTTATTTTTATTAAAAAATAAAAGCTGGCAATTAATAGAATTCTATTGGCCGATTTTATTTTTCTAAAAGTTTCAAAATTTTAGAAAATAAAAACGGGACATCCGGATTATGTTAATTCTATGTGCTAATTAATTAAATTATTAAAGCAGATGTTATGTTAAAAAAAGAATCAAATATTTTGAAAATAATAAACAGATTAGTGGTCATCAAATATAACCTTCCTACAATTTAAGGACATCATCTTATGTAACCTTCCCACAAATCACGGAATGCATTTAATGCTGAGCGTGTATTTTTATAAATAAATAAAAAAAAATAAAACTTGCCATTAATGGCAAGTAATTAATGCAGACCGAATTTGACCACAAATTTGACCTACTATTTTTAAAAAATGTTAATTCTTATTATATATATATAGATATGAGACTCATTATTCACTCATTCAATATATTTTAATATTTTTAAATTAAGAAAATTACAAATTTGGTCCCAGAACTTTTGTTGTTTCCCACATTTGGTACAGACACGCCAATTATGCTCCTTTTTGAATTTTCGTTGCCAAAATGGTCTCACTCCGTCATGACTTAACATCAACGTTATAACCTGGGACCAAATGTGGGAAACAACAAAAGTTCTGGGACCAAATTTGTAATTTTCTCAAAGACTAAGTGATAAAAATTATTTAAATTTATTTTTATTAGAAACATTTTTTAAAAGTTTTTAGTAAATGTTAAAAAAGTATATTACTATTCTTTCCTAACAATACATTTAGTTTATTTTTTAATAAATTATAAAAGATAAATATAACATACAATTCGTTCACATTTTTTTATTGTAAATTAAAGTTTAACTTGATTTTCTTACATAAAATGATTATTTAATTGGGTAACTCAACAAAAGGTGTATAAAATAATTTTATTAATTAGTTTATGATAAATGAGATGCGTGGGAGCAAATGTCTATTTTCACTTAATTTAATTTTTTTATTATGCTTAAAATTGAATTTTTTTATGTAGATGTAATTTGTATAAATAAATAGATTTTTCAATTCATAGTTGTCAAAATCAAATTAATAAATAAAAAATTATTAAAATAAAAATAGACAGTAATAAAAAAATAGTTTAGATTGGGTATTTTTTTAATTCTTATTATTTTATAAAGTTTGTAAGGATATATATAAATTATCACATTATACTAATATTTATAAGTGTAGACGAATTAGTATTATTGTAAGCATACTAATATTTTTTCTTATTTTGATAAATTGGATTATGTCTTTTGGTTTGCTTTATTTAATTAAAATAATATCATTTCTAATTATTCTTTAATTTAAATAATATTCAAATAATTTCTAATATTTTTTAAGTAATGACGGTAAAAATATTAGAGAATAAAATAAATACCACTCAATTAGCAATTATATCGTTTACTTTTCCACCCCAAATTAAAATTTATCAACGCCCTTACTTTTCCACCCGATATTTATTTTTATAAAATTATTTTTAATATTTGTTTCTCGCATCATATTCATAGTAAATTAATTTTATTATGTCATTTCGGCTTTGAGTGAATGAGAGAGACTTGAAAAAATTGAAGAACTCATTTTATTTTTTATTTTTTTTGAAAAATTGCAAAATTGGTCCCAAAAACTACAAAATTGGTCCAATCTAATGTCCTCACAAGAGTCCCGTCAATCCTGACGGACGTGGGACCATTTTGGCAATGAAAATTCAAAAAGGACCATAATTGGCGTGCCTGGGACCAAATGTAGGAAACAACAAAAGTTCTAGGACCGAATTTGCAATTTTTTTTTTAAATTATAATAATAAATTTTAAATGTATGAAAATAAAAGAACACTAAAAGACTAAAATAACTTAAATTAAGATTACATAAGAAAAAAAATAGTAGATTTACAAAACCAACTTTTTTAGTTTGTGGCAAAATGAGTCCAAATATGCTCAACTAAGTCGACACGAAGTTGATGATGTTTTGTGTTATCTCGTACATCTGAACTTTTACGTATATAATTTTGAAATTCTCGATTTGAACCTGGACAGGTTGTGCGGGCTCTTCATCCTCGTCATTGTGCCAACGTGTTACTATATCTCGTTCATCTTCAACAATTATACTGTGTAGAATAATGCATGTCAACGTTATAAATTTCATTTTTTTTCTATAACAAAACCGAGCAGGACCTCTTACAATTGCCCATCGAGACTGAAGTACCCCAAATGCCCTTTTCACATCCTTTCGAGCAGCTTGTTGTTTTTCTTTAAATAACTTTCTTTTAGGATCTGACAGGCAAGGAAAAGACTTTATGAATGTAGCCCATTCTGGATATATTCCATCAGTAAGATAATACCCATTTGCAGATTGCGTGCCGAAAACACTAAAATGAACGTTTGGTGCATTTCATTGCAATACAGTATTAAAAAGAGGAGATCCATATAATACATTGGTATCGTTACATGATCCTGCAACACCAAAAAAGGTATGCCGTATCCACAAATCGTGTGAAGCAACCGCTTCAAGGACAATCATAGGAGACCCATGCGCTCTAGTGAATTAGCCTTTCCAAGCAACTGGACAATTTTTTTCATTCCCACTGCATACAATCAAGGCTTCCAAGCATACCCGAAAACTCGTGATTTTTCTTCATGCATTTGGAGGAGTCTTTGAACATCGCTAGTGTTCGGTCTTCTACATCACCAAAAATTTGAACCACACTTTCACAAAATTTAAAAAGACATTTGCTAGCGGTTGACTCACCCATCCTTAAATACTCATCAAGGTGGTCAGCTGGGACTCCATAACCCAACTGACGAATAGCTGTTGTGCATTTTTTAAGTGGCGACAAACTTTGTCTTCCTACTGCATCAATGTTTTGCTGTAAAAAATGATGATTGTGTCTGAAGTGCACTCACAATTTGAAGAAATAATTCTCTTCGCATACGGAAACGTCTACGAAATATATGATAAGAGTAGACTGGAAGGTCAGAGAAATAATCACTTACAAGTCTGTCATGCCCAGTTTCACGATTTCTCTAGATGAACTTCTTCTTTTATGAACTTCAATTTCATGTTGATATGATTGAAGTAACTCGTGGCTTCGATGAACGATTGATGAAATCATTTCAACTTCTAAATCGTTAGTGTCATCACCATCTTCACTATCGGTGGATGATGATGAATTAGACTCGGATCTATATGAATTTTGAGACATTTTTGGAGGATGATAATTGAATTATAGTGTGTAACTATGATTTGCAGAATGAGAAAAAATATGTAAGTTTGCTTTGAATATATAGACTTCAATGTATATGTATATCGACCATTAATTGAGTTATCGAATTGATAAGCGTGCCACAACTCATGCTTTATCTTCTAAAATGTTTATTTGTGCCAGCAAATGGATTAACTTTTCATAGTCATATCTTATCTTCTGACATATTTATTTTGACTAGCAAATTGATTATTATAGACAACTATTTCATATAGTTGTCA